CCGTGCAGACTGCAGCAGGGAGCTGAGCAGCTCGTTTTCTTCCTGGAGGGCAGTTCTTTGAATTAAAGCTGGCATGATTTGTAAAGTCAATGAAAAATGAGCAAACTGACACAAAAACATGCTATCTACTCCAAGTAAGTTTATGTGGACGATTTGAAGCTGTTGATACTGTTTGTGACGTCATTGTAATCATGTTTACTTGACTTTGTAGAAATGCATGCAGACTCAATAGATGACCGATTTTTCTGCAGGTCTGAAGCTACGAAATGTTGGACCAATTTCGTTCCTTCTTGGTAAAACTGCGCCCTCTACTGATAAATATTAGAAAGTGCATTGTAGGCATTGGACAGAAGGAGATTATCACATTGCTTGAATAAATATACCACATTTTCACAGTACAGCTGTAAACAACGGTGTCTAAAATAATCAACCAACTGCCACTTAATATAGAAAATTCACAATGATGCCATTAAAATAATGTAAGTGATTATTGATAGAGCTGGTTAAACAATCAAGTCGTCTAAGTTGATCGAAATTTCCCATTTTGATCATTTCATTTTATGGGTATTTGTGTAATCTATTTAAAACTAGTTTTTTTTGGTTTGTTTGGCATTTTATATGCTTCCAAAAATTTGAAGCCACTTGGAAAAAGTTTGTTTCTAGCAAATCCCTTTTTACTCTATTTTCAACACAGATCAACAGTGATAATCTCAATACTAATCAGTTTTTGCCACTATATGACAATTATATGCCCCCATAAACCTAATAAATACTCCACTTGATACTATGCAATAACTGACATACCACTAGTGGTATTTTGTCCCACTCTTATTTGTGAAAGTATTTTAATTTAGCAACAATGGAGGATATATTTAGACCGAAAGCTGCATATTTAAGGTGATTCAACAGCATAACAGCTGAATTTAAGACCAGACTTTTACTAAATCTCTCAAAAACTGCATTAATTTTGTGTTTTTAGCCTGTTAGAGGTGGACTGCTGGTGCATTTTCTATTACTACCCTGTTTCATAAATCAAGTTATCTTGATTTTAAAAGTCAAAGGTTGTAAATGAGTTTTTCTTCTTCAGGGTTTGATTGAATTAAAAAAAAAAAACAACACAATTTTATCAAATCCTGTTTCTGACATGCTGTGTTAGTTGTATGGCAGACCCAAAAGGACAAATATCTTCCAAAATATTTTGTAAAAATTAGGTTAATAATAATAAAAAAAGCAGTACATGTTTTGTTTTAAAAAGTATTTTTACTATTGGTTAAAAACTTGAATAGTTTTGGACACAACTTACCCAATTATGTCTTTGCGAAGTAAATGAAATAAAAAAAAATGCATATAAATAGAACGCATTTAGATACAGCAGATAAATAAAAAATAATAATGAAATATATGAATCTGGGGAGATTAAACAGCCAATATGAGAAAAAAAAATAATCTCCAACAATTGAAGCATTTTACAGGCATGTTATAAACATCTGAATGTTAAACATGTGAAAAATTCAACATTTTCTGGTCCCTTTAACTACAAACCAACTACATCACACGGTATACAATGCATTGCAGAAATATAAATACATTTAAAAAATAAGAGGAAAGAAAGCTGTGTGTTTTACTTATTAATATTTTTGCCACATTGCAACCACAAACAATGTACTTCATTTTGTTTTATTGGACAAATACAAAGCAGTAGACAATTGTGAAGTGAAATAACTTTTTTCCTCTGCATGGAAATCTGTTACATGTATAAAAAAGGTTTTCATTCGAGCAGGACAATTACGGTAATCCATAAAAACAAAATCCCAATAAAACCCATCAATGCTTGTGGCTGTAACGTGGCAGAATGTGACACGGCTGAATACTTTTCTAAGCGGTAGGCGTGCGCACAAGTTCTCAAGATGCTCCGACGTATTCGTCGACTCCAGTTCCCATCACCATGCATCCTCGTATTGAAGCACCGCTGTAGGGGCTTTCCCACAGTGCTGCTGACATCTCCAACCTCTTCTGTATTTTCATGGTATTTTGACTCCTTGGAGCTGCAGATTTCCACGTCACACACACAGCATGAGGTGAAGCTAAACGCACATAACGTCCTCGGATTGCACATGGCCTTGCATAACAAACACGTATGTAGAATCTAAAGTGAGACACTTTGGAGTAAAAACCCATCAGCACACTTTGTGTTTCAGTCGTTCGTCTTTGCTAAAAACTTACAAAGGTGTCAGTTGTGTTAGTATTGCTAACATAAGTTTTAGAAAAAGGCTTAAAGTTGCCGAATTCATATAAACTGGATGCTTCACATGTAATTCCTTCATTCATTTATCAGTCTTTATTGGGCTTCCCTTCATTTTTCTGTATTTTTTTTTAACCTTCACTGTTCACGAGAAGTTCCACATTAGTTTTAACAGAGCTAACATTTGCTGGAGTCCAGTCCTCGATCCTCCACCTTCCAGATGGCGACTTTCCCGTCGTGCTTGGCGGCTCCGCTGAGGACGTAGCGGTCCTCAGCCGAGCAGAGCGCCGTCACCTTGTCGATATGGCCGTGGAGCTCCTTCAGAACCTCGTAGCGCTCCGTGTCCAGGATGTAAATCTTCCCCTTGGTGGAGCTACGGCCCATGCCCCCGACCCATACCTGGTCAGAGAGATGGAGAGAGGAAGCAGGTTACACGTTCCCTGTCCCAAATCACTGAAGTATTAAGCCACTTCCGAATTATTTAATAGACTCATTGGACAGTGATCAGACTGGTTTATTTGTTAATTTAGCTGAAGTGTTGTTTTGTTAGGCCAGAAACTTCTACTAAACAGATTTGATATGGTAAGAATCAGTGCTGAACTGGTTTAGAAATTATTTAGCTGACAGGAAACTACATCACCTCCACTTACAGTACTGGTGTTCCTCCAGGGTCTATGTTGCACCCTTCTTCATATTCTTAGAGGATCCTTATTAATAACCCTCTAAGGTCTTGGATCTGCTCACACAACTTTTTTATAGTCCAAAAAACTCATCCGAAACACTCCTAGTGAAATCCAAATCTGTTCTCTTCCCGTCTCCAGAGCCTCTCTCACCACGTCTCATCTCTATCCCCCTAGCACAGGGGTGGCCAAGTCCAGTCCTCGAGAGCCACCATCCTGCAAGTTTTAGAAGTATCCTTACTCCAACAGACCGGGATCAGCTCTACAGAGGCCTGATAACGAGCCAGTCATTTGATTCAGGTGTGTTGAAGCAGGGATGCATCTGAAACTTGCAGGATGGTGGCTCTCGAGGACTGGGCTTGGCCACCCCTGCCCTAGCATACCGACAAAAACTTTTCATTGGTTGTTTTAGGGCTGCACAGTGGCGCAGTTGGTAGAGCTGTTGCCTTGCAACTGCATGGAGTTTGCATGTTCTCCCTGTGCATGGTGGGTTTTCTCCGGGTGCTCCGGTTTCCTCCCACAGTCCAAAAACATGACTGTCAGGTTAATTTGTCTCTCTAAATTGCCCCTAGGAGTGAGTGTGTGTATGCATGGTTGTGTGTCTCTGTGTCGCCCTGCGACAGACTGGCGACCTGTCCAGGGTGAACCCCGCCTCTTGCCTCGAACGTTAGCTGGAGAGGCAGCAGCAACTCCTGGCCCCACTAAGGGACAAGGGATGGATGGTTGTTTTAGAATGGTGGTGCATTTGATGAAATCAGAAATATGGATGTCATGTTGCATTCAAGCACTTCCTGGTCACAAAACGTTCACCGAATGAACAGCAAATGCGAACAATGCACACAAAATTGTGGCAAAAATGAGTGATCATAAATCTGGTTTTATTTGGAAGTAAAACCAATATAAAAAAAAACACTAGTTTTATAAAGTTTGAAGTCTGTGCTGTCCAACCGACAGTGTGCACAGACCTTAGACGGTTGAATTAGGCTGTAGAGACAAATGATTTTTTATTATCTTTGTTGACAACATGAGTCTGTTTGTGAATGAACCTGGTTTTTGACTTGAATCATGCAGTAGCATCCAATGCAGTCCTGCAGCATCACGCGGTTGATAGGTCTGCTGGTGTTTTTAATGTGCCAGATATACACCTCTGCAGAGTCGACACACACACTCCAAAGCTCCTCGCTCTAATACAAACACAGGGAGGACGATGTCAAACATTTACACACTTGAAATACATGAACACAGTAATAATAACAGACTGTCTGTCTGTGTGCTACCTCAGTTATCAGCAGAGCAGAGCTAAACGTGACTCTCTGTTGTTCGGGCAGATTTATATGTTGTTTTAATGTACCGTTCCTCCAGACCTCCATTATGCCGTCCCTAGCGCCTTAGGAGAGAGAGAAAACGCACACAGTCAGTAATTTAGAGAAGAAGCCCATTCATGCTTCATTCGTCTTGCTTTATTGAGAAAAGAAACTCACAACACCAGAGAACTCCACCACAGCTGTAGACCGACTGCAGGCGATCGCAGGAGAGACGAAAATGTCTCTTCACCTACAAGACGAGTCGAGTAAATCCACAGCGTGAGATTTACCTGGGAAATGTTTATTCATCCAGATTCTGACTGAGAAGGGAAGCAACCGGCTGATTTTTTCACTCGCCTGTAGAGTGGAGACTTCCCACGCCATGACGGTTCCCTCCGCACTGCAGGAGTACGCCACCTTGTGGCTGAACATGACGGCACACGTTTCACACATTTACCCAGGATGCATTTTTACAGAACATGTGCATCTTTTAGAGAAATGTATATTAATAAATTAGATTTCAACGTCTAAGATTAGAACAATCAAACTATCAGCCTCTGATGATGCTCTTGTGTTAAATAAGCAGTGATACATTAAAAAAAATATATATATATATTTAGAAGTTATAGACGAGGTGTCACCAGTATTTTTCGTTGTCCAGTGCGAGTCCTGTGACCTCTGCCCTGTGCTCAGTCAGCTGCCTGTTACAGACCATGGACACCAGGCTGATGATGTAGATGACGCAGTCCTCAGAGCCCATCCAGACCTGATCTCTGTCAACTCCCAGCATGCAGTTCTGAAAACACACAAACCCAGTTGATAAGCTTCAGGATTAATATAACTATTTATTTGTTTCCTTCAGTCAAAGAATATTTAGTGTTTTTAATGCTGTCAGATTAATTGTAATAATATTCAATCTATTGAAGGAATTTGGGAGTTTTAACAGATATAACACAAACAGAGTCAACTCGCATTTTAAAAAGTTAAGCTCATTAACACATACATATATTCTCCACCAGGTGGCGTGAGTGCTTAAAAAAAAAAACCCATACACCTCTGATTTTTTTTTTCTTTCCAAGAGACAGAGGTAGGATAAAAAAGTCCTAAGGAGATACTTCTCTCTCCGTTTCTGGTGAATGTTTACCTCACAATGATAACATGCAAGTTTCTGCAACCAGGAAAAGAAAATGAAAGAAAAAAAAAAGGCAGAGGGAAAAACTGCTTCATCTGTATCTGATTTCAGTGGCATGTCTGATGGATAACAGCTGAACCTGTCTGGCTCTGGAGTCAAATATTTTTGATTACCAGCAAACTGAAGCCTTCTTTTGTTTATTGGCCTCACTCATCACTGGTTTTCCTAAAGCTACACAGAAGTTCAGTCCCAGTTCTTTGAGTTCCTCTTTGCATTGTGTTTGGAAATGTTCCTACTTTGACTAGTGAAGATGATGGTTCCCCATCAATTCAGTTTGCTTATAATTCATTGGATAGTTCTTAATCCAATTTTCAGCAATTTCCTCAGATATTTCCTTTGCTTGATGCATACCAATCTTCCCAAAATAGTTTAGCATTTTCTTTACAACCACAACGTCTAAGAAATTAGACAAGTGGTTTTATTGCATCATAAAAATAGATTCGCAATCATTTGAACGGCCTGCAGAGTCCTGACCCTGCCTTTGGAATAAATAAGAGCATAGACTGTGACAGTGATTCTCGTCCAACATCAGTGTCTGACCCCACTGATGAGCTTTTGAATGACTGGCCAAAAATGTCCACAAACGCACTCCAAAAAACTGTGAAAAAGCTTTCCCAGATGAGCTTAAGCTGCTACATCTGCAAAGTGAGTCCCGGCATCACATTAAACCCATGGATTAAGAACTGCATGCAACTCCACTTCATATGTCTGTGAGGGCAGATGAGACAACACTGTGGTAGTATAGAGTAGCAGGGATGATAATCTGTTCCTTTAGTTTGGTTTTATATAGTACCAAATCAAAGAGCTTGGAATAATTACTCAAAAATTGAATCCCAACAAATCCTTGTCGTCCCTTTGAAACAAGATTTTATTGAGAATGACTGCATTCTCAAACAAAGCGTAGAGAGCATGCAGAATATATCTAAAATTTTACTATTAAGCAGAGTCAAAAGGTGTGTCTGTCCCAAACATCAGCACTGAAAAACAATATCCGCTATGACTAAAGACGGCTTACGCTCTTTGACAGAAAACAGAGGGTGTGATTTCTTTTGTTTTTAAGAAGCTTTTCTGTAAAAAGAAAAAAAAACAAAAACAAACTGTCAACTTGAAAATCACCAGCATGCTGCTGGTTTCTCTTACCAGTCTTGCATTTCCGACTTGGCAGGTTTGTATGAGGGACCAGCTGGATGCATCATAGACCATCACCTTCCCTCCGCCCACAGACACCCATAACTGACCTGAAACACACACAAGCAGCATTTATACGTTATTTATTGATTTAAAAAAAAAAACTTTCACCAAAGACACTTATTAGAAACAGAATGATAAAAACCATACAAGAATGAGGTAAAAAAAAAAAAGTTTCCTGCAACTGCACCAGATTCCGTTTAGGTGTGTGACCATTAGACAGTTTGAGTCAAAACCCTTCATGCTCTGCAGTATTCTCAAGCGGTCTGACTCCACCCTGGCTTGATCTAACGGTCACATTTTTTCCTACATATTCACTGCTGCTGGAATAAAAAGAGAGAGAGAGCAACATCCTGCGTTTCATAAGGGGAGCAGAGAGAGAAACGTAGACACTGAGAGAAGGGAGTGGTGAGGAATGAGGGGGTGAGAAAACTGGTCCTGGGCCAGAAACTCAATTCAGTGACCTATATTCAAGCGGGAGAGGCTAGCTCAGGGAGACAGACATGAATAGCTAGATGTGTCCTTTTCAGCAAAGAGAAGGCTGCCACAGAGGGGCTGTGTTTGTCATTCACATGAGTATATTTGAGTTGGTGGTAGGTCTGCCACCAGCTTGTTTCTGAGTGGCCCCAGATGGCTGCAAACTAAAGGCCACGGCCTTTGTTGCTCCTTTTTAGCCTCCCGCAACCGTATAGCAACAGTGTACCACCCACAGAGACGAGAAGACGACAAAAAAACCCCAAAAAAGTCACAAGTCATGTTTAATGGTCAACAGAAGTTTAGTTTGACCAGTCAAAGGTTTACCAGAAGAGTATTTTGATGCAATAGGTTTCTAAACGTCTGCACAAAAATGCCAGAGGAGCACACAAAAAACAAACAAACCAGAAGTGATGAATAAACAACAAGAATGATCTAAAATCAGCTGGAATGTGAAGCGTCTTGAAACAGACAAAGAGGTGAAGTTACAGAATAAAAAAAGCTGGAAAAACCGGAACAGCTGCCAAGAATCTAACAAAATCTTTAAATATAAACAGAAAAGCCTCATATGTTTGAGTTTCTTAAGCGAATGTTGCTACAAGTCACTTCACATTATTTGTTTCTTTAAGACGTCATGAATCTGGGCACACATCCAGCACATGAGGCGCTCCTCAGGGCTCCATTCTCGGGACACTTTTCTGTGTTACGACACACACATTTAAATATTTTCTTGTTAACAAATGAGTCTCTGTCAATTATTACCTTAATATTAATAGAATATATAGATGTGTGGGAATTTTCTTTAATTTAATGCAAATAATTGTATGTATACTCATCATTTCCCAAAAACTTTCAGGAAACAAGACACAAAAAACTATTGCTTACTCCTACTTGTAAAACATTTTTTTACTAGTTTATATCATTATTTGTTCATATGTTTCAACTTAAATTTTTTTTTTCAGTTTAATGAGTGTTCTTTTAATAAATTTATTGTGTTAATATACTTTTTCTCTGAATGACCTTGTGTGAATAGTGTTAGCATTAGCCTAACAATGTCTAATAATTCCCCCTGTTTTCCTGTGTCTAAAAATGAATCTGAAATAATTCATTTCAATGTCACTCTCAGGCTTGCAGAGCTTCCTGCTGGTCTGCAAAGGAAGACATTTATATTTAGTTTGCAGTGGAGTCAAAAAAAAAATCCAAGGTGAGTTTAGAGCAGCAATTCTCATATGAACCATTATCTTTTATAGTTTTTTTTTTTAGATTAGACCCTGATTCAAATGGCTGAATCATTACCTCTGCATCCCAAAGTTATGGAAAAACATACAGATCTTTTAATTTAAATCAGTTATGATGGATCAGGGAAACATGAACATGCAGGAAAGAAGCTCTTGAGGATTGTCGCTTAAAAATGGGCGTGTTAAGAAACATACTCAAACATTTATGGGCTGAAATACAGGCTTGTCCAAAACCTTTAGCTTAAATTGACAACAACTAGGAACTTTTGAAAAGCTCTGAATTGCAGGCTTCCTTTTAATTCAGCGTTTTCACAATATTCAATGAATCTGACAAATGTCTTTCAGTTTAGCACTTTCCCAAACAAGGAGACCGGACGAGGAGGAACTAGTGCTGCTGAAAAAAGTAATGTGCACATACACGCTTTTCCCGTAAATGTAAGAGCTGATTGTAAACCAAAGGTTAACTGCATAATCAGTAATTGTTAATTGTGTCAGTCAGTGGGGGAGGAGGGCACAATGCAATGTAGGATTACAAAACACTTCTACTGCTGAAAAACCACCAATCAAAACCCAGACTTCCTTGTGGACCAATCAGAGACCAGAGAAACCTGACACTTGTCACCACAGTGTCAACAGGAATGCTGTAGAGACTGCTTTATTTGTTTGTGTGTGTGCGTGTGTGTGTACCTGGAGTGTACAGCAACACATCTACAGCCTGGGGTACGGCAAATTCCACTGACGGGTTTATTTTATGCTTCAGCGTCTCTGAAGTTGTGCTGGGAACCATCATCTGAGCTGGAGACGCATAAAACAGAAGGAATTAACCTTTAATGGGATGACTGCATGGTGATGCAACAGGAAGCGCTTTCAAGCACCAATAACTACAAAAAAAAACTTCCAGATGACGCATTACGTGATAAAGCTTCTATGAGCAGAGGGTTTAGCAAGAATGTTATGTGACTGAAAACAGATAAGAAATGCAATAATAACAAAAGCAAACGCAGTAGTGTTGCATGGAGAAAGAGATTTCTCACCTTCTAGACTCATGCGGTCAAAGTAAGCGAGCTTAGAAGCAGCATAGATAGCTTTGCTGCTCTGAAGGCTGCCTACTACAGCGTCCATTAACAAGGCGTTGGTCAGAGCCTGCTGCATGTATTGTGGATCCTGGAGACAAAGATATTTTAGATGTAATAAGTAAAGAAACAAAACAAAAAGAAAACCTTAATTTACCTGCTGTTTGTACATATTTAAGAAGAAAGAATGAAACCAAACAATTAGAAATTTGACCTAACAGAGATAGGACTTAATGTTTTAAAAAATACCGTATTTTCCTGGACTATAAGTCGCAGGTAAAAAAAAAAAAAAAAAAAAAAAACTGGAAACGCACATATAAAAGCCGCTGGTATCTGCTGCTCTCGGTTTTCCAATAAACCTGCTGGGTTTATTAAGGACGCAGCCCTCCGTTTCCAAAGCCGAAACGTGGTTTCGATCACGCCGAGTTTACGTGCAGCGGCTCCATTTCCCTCCTGTACTGCCAGATCGACACTCCTCAACTTAGAAGCTGCATCATATGAGTTTGAAAACATTTCTCTGTCGTGCCTGCTGCTAGCATGTGCTTGTTCCAAATGAAAATTAGCACTTTCTTCTTTGATTTCCAATTTTGACTTCCAATGATTCACTTCCTGCTAAAGCGCCCCCTGGTGGTTGAAGAAAAATCCGCAGAAAAGCCGCACCAGCTATGAGCCGCATGGTTCAAAGCGTGGGGAAAAAGTAGCGGCTTATAGTCCGAAAACTACGGCATTTATGATTGAATATTCCAATGTTTTATTAATACTGACCCACATTTTTCGCATTTCTTTCTTTAAACCACACAGTGTCCCCGCCACCTTCTGCATGCTTTCACATCTCAGCCATTGTCATCCATGTCAAATGTAAACAGCAAGAGTGGTGAATAGCATGCAAACTGTGAATGCCTGGCACTTGAAACATAAGACTGAACTAAATAAATCCATTTTGACGCTGCACACATTTATATAGTAACTATGATTGTAACTTAGTGTATTGCACAGCTCTAAATGATACTACACAATTTGCTAATAGTTTTTTTTTTTCCTTTTTAGTTTACAACATCAGATCTCTGGTATCTGGGATTCTGGTTATTAATGTTTGGATATTAAAATTGGCCAAACAAAATGGCAAATCCTGTTTGCCAAGATTAATTTAAGACATAGGGGTACATTTTAAATTGTGATAAAAGTGGGTTACATCAACTTTAATCCATATTAAGCTCACTTCTCAGAATATGTAATTCAGGATATATGATATAATATAGTTTTAGTTTAAGAAATCATGTATCAAATAAGTTTTGGCAACTCATTTTCATTTCTATCACACTGTTGTGTGTTTGCCTAGAGTTTCAGAGATGCAAAGATGTACGTTGCATTTGACAAATACTGCTCCAACTTTGCCACAATATAAATTTATCAAGGCTACTTTTAATCAGTCCTTATATAAGCATTGTTTATTATAGGCCACTCTGGTGCATGCAAGTGAAAATTCTCACCTAAAAGTATAATACTTAGAAATACAACTGACACTAACTTGTCTAAGTTGTGCAGAACTTTTCCAATACTGACTTTGTCGTTAAATTATTTCTAATAAATAGACAATCTACAGCATACAGGTACAAGAACAACTTTGGTTTTATTTTTAAAAAGTCAACACTTTAAAAAAAGTGTTATTTAACCTCAGTTTTTACATAAAGTAAAAAGTGATCGGGCAATTGCTCTTTTCATGCTGTCTAACGTCTTTTGTTGGCTGATTAGTTACAAGAGTTTTTTTTAATCAGTGCTGCTTATAAAACATATAAAAACACTGCCATGTGTATCAATGATCACCTTGCAGACTGTGCACAGCACAGATAAGAGGAACTGAGATTTTTCAATTCAGGTGGCGAGTTAACAGACGAAAGAAAATGAAAATGTGTGTTTCAGCTACAATGTCCGGTTTCAAAAAGGAAAACCTCCTCCTGCTGCTAAAGCATGCATATTTTTGGTCATCTGCGCCTGACAGAATTTCAGCCACACCCACAAAGGTCACTGCAGTTCATGTGTGTGTACATGTGAACATACATCGAGATAAAAACAAGGCAATAAAGGTGAGAAATAACTCAATAATTGATCTTGACAGGGTGTTTCATTTCCCACTTTCATTCTTCTCCTGCAGAGTTTTATAATTTTGCCAGTTGCACTTACACGCCCTCCTAGACCAAAGCTTTACCTTGTGTCGGTCAGCTATTGATCGTCCTGCCCACATCTCCTTGATCATCAGATTCCACAGCTCAGTTTCCGTTTTCAGGTTCGCCTCGAATGTCTCCTTCCTTCCATGAACACGGATCTTCAGGCTGGGGATGCGTAGAACCAGGAAGGGAGCAGAGGACACCCTCACTTCCTGTCAACAAAGAATTGTTGTCGGGTTTTTTTGTTGTTTTTTTTAATTCTTATTTACTGGCTCGTGTTGTTTATTCTCGGTTTTTCCTCTCACCTCCAAGTCTCGATATTGTGCCACCTCCACGTATCCCGGTCGTCCGTCGGTCAGCAAGAAAAGCCGACGCTGAGTCATGGCGATCTTCCCCACACCACGACTCGTTTTGACGGAGGACGACAGCTTGAAGACACATTCGGCAGCATCAATGTGCTCCAGCACGGATGCCGGCAGACACACCTTAAAAACAAATAGAAAAAAATATACAGTAATTACATCCAGAAAAATCCATCACCAAATTTATCTAATCAAGTCTTAAAAAAAAATAATAATAAAATCCCGGAACTTTTTCTCATTCCGTTTCATTGAAACTATTGACCCTTTTGTTTTATTGGGATTTCAAACAATAAACCAACAAAGTGATGAATTATTGTGGAAGAGAAGAAAAATGACAGTCACAGTTGGTTTGTTTGGGAATATATATCCATGCCACTTTTCAGATTTGCATTTTTAGAAAAATAATTGAGCCGTATATCCTTTACAACTATGCACCACCTCGTGCTGTTATTGTAGATAAAATAAAATAAAGCTTAAGGTTGTAATATGGCATCATGTACAAGAAAAGAGCATGTGGTGTGAATATCTACGCAGGAACCTGTAATCGCCGGTGTAATATTTAATATTTAAAAGAAAAGTCTTCAAAGAGATCTTATGCAAGTTCTCAGAGACCACTAGAAATATCTAATTAAACTCAAGGACTTAATATTTTCTATTTTGCTTTTTTAAATGATAAACATGAGGGGAAAAATATGAATCTAATCATCCAATGATCAAATTACACAAAAAGGATCTTAAACTTGTATAACACAAATGGGCTAACATATTATTTTCACATATAAACTGAACATTTGCATTCATTTAGGGAAAAATCTGGCCATATTTATGCAAAGTGCTGTTGCTCCTCCATGACTGGAGCGATTAGGGACATGGAAACGGCATGAAATAAACACCATCTGATAAAAGCTGTAGGATGCAAGAGGAAATTAAGGGAGAAGAAGCAACCTGCTGTCTGCATTGCCGGTCTTATAGGTTGAGCATACTGCACTAGAAGTTACAACACTTTTCATTTATTCAGTCGAAAACTTAACTGCGAATCAATCAGAAACCTTTAACGCTTTACCCGAAAATTACTACAGTAAATAATTTATGTGCCACGTGCAATGATAAAGCAATCTGATCCTACTTCAGTCAATGCTTCTTATCTTGAAACAAATCAGTAAAATGGATGAAACATCCTGCTGTCTTTAACAATTTGCAGCCATGCGTCACAAATATCTCCATCTTCTGTTCACTTACAAACACCACTGCCAACCTGATGCCTCCCTGATAAAGACAGGCATTGTTCTCAAAAGTATTTTTGAGGAGTGTCTCACTCTTCCTTGTACCCAGAGGTCACTGTGAGGCAGCATACTTCTCTATCTCAGAAATCATTTCTGTGTTTGCCGTTTTAGCATCTGCAGACAAGAACAAACACGACGTGACGGAAAAATAGGAGCAGGCTGCTCGCGTCAGCTGGGCCTGATGGGCATGTCGGTATGTATTTAGTGAATGCGGAGCAAAAAGAAAGCAGAGACCTCGTGCAGAACAAGTGAAAAAGAAATTGCTTTGGGAATTTCTCCAAACATTTACTCGCACATAAAAAAAAACAATTAAAAAAACAGACGTCAGTAATTGACAAATTAAAATATTTTCTACAAAGTTCTCTCCTGTCACAGGTATGGATATCAACACATTTCATTTTTGGTACAGACCTCTTGAGCCTCGGCCTCAGTCTCCTTCCAGATGGTGTAAAACACTCTGAATAAGTCTGGACCAACCTGCTTCTGGTGACCTGCAGCACGCACACACACACACACACACACACACCACCCAAAAATACACTGGTTGAATACCGAGCTGAGCCACATTTTGTTTTTCTTAAATCTGCCGACAGAGCAGTCTTGTTTGAAGAACTCTGTTGCACACAAATGTGTCCAAACATCTGGTCGGTGGCTAAGATGCGTTTTTCTTTCTCTTTCAGGCCATTTGATGTGCCAGCACGCCTGCAGAGTGAGCAGCTGGAGCTGGCCTTCAGCGCGACATCAACACAGCAGCTGTGTGTGCTCTCATCCACCGAGACACAACCATGTAATTTTTAGCCGTGTGGGATAAGTCAAGTCAACTAAATTTAATCCTATACATCCTCTGCTGAGTTAAAAGCACCAATTAAGCAGCTTAGTGCCACCACTTGAAAGCAGAGACAGCATGGGATCACTAGTGATGTGAACTGAGAGTCTGACAGCGTTCAGATTTTTAAAGACATCGTAACCTTTTAATTTTTAACTCGAGTCCCGGCTATCTACTTCCATAGATGTCTGAGAGTGTTTCCAAACACTCCAATAATAAAAATAAAAAAAAAACTCGATTACCTATGACAGGTGAGTTTAAAAATAGAAAGCAGAGGAAAAAGGTTGGGTTGCATCTCTGGGAAAACTCCACCATGAATTCATTTTTTAAGCACTTTTTTCTTGTTTTTCCACAACTTTGCAAATATATTGTGAAGAAGAAGTTCAATGTTGAAAAAAAATTGAATATTCTAAGACAAAGCAGAGCTACTTTCAAGTGTTGTTATTCAAGTTAGTTCCACATGGAAACATTTGCAGGATGTGTAAAACAAGCACACAAATGCTAGAGTAGAACAAAGCTTATATAAGGCTTTGGTTTAATTTAAAAATGTATGTGAGAAACTCTTCAGAAGGGCCAAGTCAACCATTAACCCAAGAAATAAATGTTTGCCTGAAAAAGCAAAAGAAAGGGCAGATTCCTGCAGACAATAGTTAAGAGCAAGTAGTCCAAAACCTCGGAGTTTATAAAACAACCATAAACTAAAGTACAAACTAGCAATAAACAATGTTTATTGCTAGTTATCCCTCATTAACTGTAATCAAGCCAAACACACATGTAACAAAGTACAGAAAAAAAAAGTTTGCTCCTTACCTACGGTGAGAGCATCAAACAGTCTGTGAATGGTTCCTTGGTCTTTTACGATGCCAGACTCCTGGACACATTTCACAAACTCCTCCAAGTGCATGTATTTTTTCGGCAGCTGGAAACGCTTTACTGCTGCGTCTTCCTGTCCCGTGCCCTGGGTCGCGCGCTCCCGCTCCTGTTCCCTCTTCAGCCGACTGATGAGGCGTTTGATCTCCGGCCTTCTGTCCGCCTGCAAAGAGGATTTTGATATTCAATACTGCTGAGGCGTTGCTGTCCATGTCACTGTTAGCTGCTGGTAATACAATACAATGAAAAAGGCCCATCCCAAAACTTTTTGTCTAATTTGGTGCGTTACAAGCACAATCGTCAATGCTTTTTACTTAAATGTTATGTGATAGAGGCAAAATTTAAATTTATTTAAATATAAAAATCGCAAAAGACTGGTGTAGATTTGTTATTTACACCCCTTTCTCTTCCCCTTCATAATTATGGACACATGTTGGTGTAATGTGATTAAAAATGGATAGGAATATTAGGGCAATGACACATTTAGACCTCAGCAGTAGTTTTAGTTTCTAGATTCAATACGTAAAAAAAAAAAAAAAAGTGGCGTTGGTCTGAACTGACCTGTACGCGCTCAACATCTGGCAGGGAGTCTATTAAAGAGTTAACCATCTGAGAAGGGAAGATTCCTGCGTCAGTCTTATAAAGACTATGAAAATCCTCCAATGCGTCCAGACGCCTGTTGGACACAGTGTTCACCAAACCCCGGAGGTAATGGTATCTGCACACAGAAGAACAGACTGGATAAGCCACACACAAACCGTAACAGGATTTCATTTATCATCTAGAGCCCTTTAAGAAATCTACTAAGGGGCTCTGAAATCTTGAAAAGCAGCCAAGTAATTCACAATGACTGAAACGCAAACAAAAACAAAGGACATAATGATAAAAATCTTCATGACTCATGAGCTGTAACCTGTTCTTCTGGAAGCGGGCTTTGTACTAAATAAAGATACAGAGGAAAATAAAGCAGAAAGGCGGATTTGGCCTTTTTTTTAAATTTCTTTAAGGAAGCTAGAAGTCAGAAGCTGAGGCAGGAATGAGCCAACCAGAAAGATTACATAATCAAAGGGGTAATTGCTGCTTTTTATTTGCATTACTTCAGAGCTGAATCATATGATTGTTCTTCAGTTAGTGTCAGCAGAAAAGTATATTTGAACAATCCGGTCAGGTGAAACTATAAACCCTGTCTGTCATTTCAGCAGATACCTGGCCAGCAGTGCAGATTCATCAGGTGGTGTCGCATTAATAGCCTTCCCCAGTGAGGCAACCATGTCAGAGTAATAGTTCTGAACATAATGATAGGCTAATGGCGGCGGGAACTCTGGGAGGCGGAACACCTTCAGAGGTTTCTGAAGAAACTTCAACCCTGGGAGGAAAAAAAACATGCAATCAGGAACGACATCGCATTCAAATGATTCTCAGTTCAGTCACCAGTGCTGACCGCTATCGGGACTGATCTTCCGAATGGAGAGTAGTCTGTTTGCGTTCAGCGGGACCGATTCGTTAATGGGTTGGTCGAGATTCGGCAGACTGGCTCCCAGCCGCTTGCTCAGTTTGCGGTCAGGGCCAGCTCTGGACAGCTCCGACATCGGAGGGCGGCGTGGGGATTCTGTCATTGCACGATTCCTGCAAAGAACAAAGTCGGGAAGAGGATTTGGTTTGACAGCGAGAGAAAGTCGTTTGATCAAGCTTCAGAAACTTCAGGTATAAATATTTAAACCATGACTCCTCCACATCAAATGTCACTCAAGAAAGCCAGTGTTCAGTAGGAAAAAGGGATTGTGTAATCTCCCAATATGCTTGGCAATGGCAAATCATCACCAGTGTCAGCTATAAAATTTAGAATTGGGACAATGTTGGTTTGGGGATTCTTTGGGATTTCAGGGTCCAAACTCATGTAGAAGGATCAGCTGGGGACCAGAAACATGGTAGACCCCTAACTGGTTACCAGCCATTCAGAAACTAAAAAACAATCTTTTTCCACTCACTGAGCACAGAACACCTGAGGATTACCAGGTCACACCAACACCAACCTTTATATGAATTTTATTGCTGAATTAAGAAAAAAAGTGAAAATGATTTTACAAATCAGTCAGGTGCTTAAAATGAAGTCAGAGGCATGGTTTCTAGTCTCTAGAGAGCGAGACTTCCAAAGGAAAACAGGAAGGCTCAACAGAGAACAGCCAAGTCGCTCCAAATTATTTATTTTATATAATTTTTCAACCTCGATCTATCAAAATGTTGGATTTGGAAATGTTGGCAGCATTTCGGAGATCACAAAGTTGATTAGAGGATCTACATTCTTGAATAAATCCCCACACAGCCTGATGTTTTGTAACGTTAATCATGACTATTAAAAACAGTCAGACAGTTTAACGTGTGAACTTTAAAAGTATATATTTTTTGCTTCAGAGTATTACTAATATCTTCTTCTCCTTTTACTTATATCAATAAATGACTACTTTACACAGTTGGGCAAGAAAAGAATACTAAAATGTTCATATTTTTTTACTGCATTAAAAAAAATAAGTGAAAATGTTAAACTTTTCATCTCTTAGATGGAGAAGGGACAAGAGGTGTAATAAGTGATATTCATAGTAACTGAAAGTAATTAAAAAAAAATATACCCAGAAATTGTGTTACATAAAGTGATTGGGATTTTTATCGCTGCCACTCAGCTGTGACATCATAGCAGCGTCATACCGGTGCGCGTGGCTTTGTGTCATCTGCTCCATGCGGCTGAAGGAATCTCTTTTCCGGTTCAGCCTGTCCCGCAGGAATGAGTGAAAGATGTGCGTCTCTAAAACCTGAGGACAATTCCAGCAGAGTCAGTCACAGTCTGTGTGCATGACAGAGAGTCTACATCTTAGTTTCACAATGGTTGACAATTACCTTTCTGTAAAACAGCTGGTCGTCTGGCTCCCTCGTTCTAAGAAACTCCTCACTATTAAAAACTCTGTGTTCATGGTTTAAAAAGTCCTGGACTCCTCTGACAAAGAAAAAACAAGGTGCCAGTAGAGCGTAAGACTTTCTGATATTTCTGTTCGTTATTTTAATCTTTCGGTGGATCCTCACCTGAAGATGTTGACCACCAGTTCCAGGGCGATGTTTTGGATCTGGGAGTTGAGTTTCTGCTGCCAGCCTCTACGCTGGGAGCGAAGGGTGTTAACGTCTGTACCCGTCCCAAGGTGGCACAGCTCCAAATCGTACTGAAGCTGTAAGCTCTCTGCCCTGGAGAACCCAAAGCACAAAGGAATTTAGTATAGTTTGGGATTATATCCACCATCAACTCTTCTAATTTAAAAGCCCCCAGGAGGTAACCTACTTAAACTCTGATTCAGATTTGACTTGTGTCATGAAACTATTTTTAGCACAAGTAATTACCCGCTAAAGAACTACGATCAGATGATGAAGTACCGATAAACTGGCCTATAAAATAACAGGTTTGGGAGCATCTAAGGCATTCAAGACATCAGCAAAGCAAAGACAAACTAAATGTTCTTTATGGTGTGCATAATCTTCAAAACCTGACCTTCGGACCTTTAGGGAAATATTTTGTTCATTTGGTTTCCAAATGCTCAGACAGCAGTTTAACGACGGTATACTGACACACTTTCAACCTGGCTTGAATTTCGTCCTCATTGCAAACATAAACTGTGGATTTAGAGTCTTTTGAGTTATGTTTCTACCAGCTGTGCACATCCAGAAGCTGAAACGTTTTGTTGACTCATCTTCATAAAAACATCTGAGGCTGGGTGAAAAGCATCTGCGGACACCAGCTTCGGCACATATTGCCAACTGGATTTAAGCCTAAAACTTTGACTAGGTCATTCTAACCCATGTAAAAACATTTACGCAAATAAATTTCAATCAATAACTAAATAAAACAGCACTACAGCAATGCTTTTAGATTGGGGTTAGCGGGCGTTACCTTGAAATAAAGCACTCTGCTGCAGCCAGAGGTAAGGCAGGAAGGTCGACAGCTTCAGACCATGATGTCTGAATAAAACCATCATCCACATTCACAAGGATCAGGTCCTCTGTCTCCTAAATGCAGGGATAGACGCATGTAAAACGTAGCACAGTTTAACAGAGAAGGGCTCAGTCTGCAGAAAAGAAAGCTTCTGTGAAAATGTGAGCTGAGCTTCAATGAGTCAATGAATAAAGATGAAGACAGCTGAGAATAAGCAGCCATTGTTGAACTCCATATTTGAGTTTACTAAGGACAAATCAGACACTATACCAATTATAAAACCTCACATTTTACCACCAGATGCGGATTTTACAGCATAGAACCATGAATTCTTTAGTTTGCATCAGTGGTTTCAATTCAACTTATTTAGTAATTCACTGGTAAGCAAAATTCAAGCAATAAACGAGTGGCGGTGCACTTACAGCAGCAATCTCTTCAAAGTGATTAATGTGACAGCCCATCAGGAAAGCGGTCGGCGCCATAAGAAAGTCCAGCATTCCTCGGGCCAAGACAGGAACGTAGGGCTGCTGCCAGGACAGTGGCTAAGAGCAGGGAGCAGGAAGAGATAAACTAAAGGATATTGTTTTAAGCTTCTTTTTTTTTATTTTTATTTTGTTAACCTAACCTGCAGGTACAGCAACAAACTCTCTGCCACCAGAGTCAGTCTGGCCCAGTCTGAGGAGAAAAAGACGATCCTCTGCTCTTGCAGAAGGCAGGAAAGCACCTGGAAGACGCAGCAGTGGGAAAACGTATTAGTCTGTTCTAGAATAGCATTTTTACAGGTGTTGTGGCTTCATGTTCTCCTGTGTGCTGTGAAATAACCACCTGGAGCAGAGCCGTGTGAGTGAAACAGAGAAGAGGAAGGTGAAGGTTGAGGTCAACAACGGGACTGTCCTGATCGTCTCTGGACGGGAGAACCACTTGAAGGGGACGGAGACTAAAAGACTGACAAACACATTTTATTGTTTAGATCTATTATAATGTGGTGTAGAAGGAAAGTATAATTTAGTACAGAACATGCAAAGGAAGGCAGGAATATATTCTGACCACATGCAGCTGTCCAGGAGGTGGTAGGGGAACGAGGGACAGCTTGGCTGAAAACTCCCTGATCGTTTCTTCAAGATCCGCTTGTCTCACAGTCCGCAACTGGACCAGCAGACTGGCAACAACGAGAAATAAGCATTATTACAGATAATATGCTATAATCTTTCTGTAGCATCTTATACTAGTCATGTGAGAGATTTCCATTAGATCTGACATGATTATTTTAGGTAAAATCATGATCAAGTAGTCCAAAAAGCAATGCATTTACAAAATGACGTTACCATGACAAGCAGTCTTTCAGGGCGTTGTAGTAGGGAAACTTTGAAATGATGCACACAGCAAAAGGAGCAAACAGACGAGACTTGGGTGCGTTCCATCTGTGGCCATTTTGGAAAACACTGTCCTGAAAGGACTGTTAAGATAAAAGAGGATCAGAAGTAAAACTCCGAATTGATCATATCCAATGTTTTACTGATCAAGCTGCATGCGTGTTTGTACCTGCACAGCTCTGTAGTAATGGACAACAACTCCATGGGTTCGATTGCCAAACAGGTCGGTAAAAACCAAGAAGTGATAGGCGTCATCTTTCTGCTCACTGGCTAGCTGAAGACCATCTAATCAAAAAACAAGAGGCGCCAAATAAAACACAAACACTGATAATCTCAGCTGTAGGAGGTATGTATGCGGTTATTAAAAAAAAAAAAAAAAGTGAACACAGGTGGTGCACAATCACCAAGCTGCATAAAGTATGTCCAAAATATCCGACGATGAAGAGCACCAAGTTTTGCTTCTGTGAAAGCACATTAGTATATAACTGGTTTTGAATGAAAGCTGTACCAGGGAAACAGAGCTGAGGCAAAGCGATGAGGTCCAGATCCTTCGGAACACTGATGTCCTCCGTTGCCGGTACCGGCGATGCTTCGTGACGACTGCTTGAATCTCCATTAGACACGCCCTCCGCAGCACGATCTCGCCTCTTCTGCAGGTTACAGAAAAAAAAAAAGGCATTTGGCTCGAATGATTTCTATTTAATTTTTAAGAAATTAGTTAACGAAGCAAACCTTTTTAATGAAACTTCTCCTCCTCTGCACACGGCTGAAAGCTGGACCAATGACGTGGTTCGAGTTGGCCTCTATGGAAACAAACGGCGGAGCATGGACCTGCAGTACCTCAGGATCCAGCAGGGGGAGCTCACTTGACTTTGTGTGCTGCAAGGGATTGCGAAATCGTATTACTTGTCGTAGATGTATGATAAGAATAAGTCATTATGTTTTTATAATCACAAACGTGATGATGCAGCTTGGAAATCGAAAAAAAAAACTGATCAAATTTTTCATCCCAGTTCGTTTTTGAGCATACGTACTTGCGGTAACTCTCGAAGCTTATCGCTGGGAGCTCCGACCACTACACAGGCCTCCAGGAGCCCAGATGGGAGCTCCGCCATCACATCAGAGTTCACACACTCCTAGAAACACACACACACACACACACACAGCAGCACACTTACATACACTTGGAGACATTTTGATGAGATTGCGTCACTAATAATGTAATATTTTGCATTGTTTGAATACAAATTGTCCTTGAAAATCAGCACGACATATTAATCCAGAGTTATTTTAAAACAGAACACAGCTAAAATATCCTGCATCCGTTTTCATATCTGTTATGAAAACAGTTTGGAAACTGATATTTCAAATTGATAGCTCACCTTTTACACTGTGACAAACCGAACAGAGGAAGGTAGAGCTGCTGTGATGGCTAATTGATCACTCTTTTAACAATAATTAAAAAAAAACAAAAAAAAAGAAACCTTCAAAGGGTTTTACATAAGACACAAACAGCTGCACTGATTATATTTGCAAAACATAACATGAGTCTATTAAAAACTGCAAACACCTTTTCTCTCATGATTTACACGCAGCATTGCATCCACAGAGCAGCTGTGTCACAGGGTTACCCACTGGTGCATTAAACCAAGTGTTTCACCAGAGGAATCGAAACCACAACCGCTACCAAATTACCGTCACTGAACCCCTTTTAGATTCTCTGGCGCTGACGTCCTTTTCATATGGATTTTCATACTTAAAATCACTGGTAACATAAAGCATCCTGGACACTAGCTAAAACATATTTATATTTTATTGCAGTATGATAAGCTATTTTATAGAAGAATTTACAATCGGTTTTGTTACTGTAGGAGCACTACAATCAAAAGTTTTGCTCTCCCTGTTCTTCCTAAACACACAAGAATAACCAATTTTGAGCGTTATGGAAAAGGCTGCATTCTTGTTTTAAACACCAAATCCACATGAAAACCTCATCTGGTGAATGTAAAAGGTTCCAGTTAAAATTCCAGTAGAATTTATCCAAATCCACATTTATGTCAGGAAGATAAACGTGGGCTCTTTCCATGCCTTGTTTGTCACAGTTCCAGTTGTTTTATGCCTTTACATTTTTTGCTCCAAATGGTGAAAGTTCAGATAAGTCAGTCAAGACCTCTGTGTCAAATCCTATTTATACCCCACTAGAAGATGAAGTCATGAGTTATTCATTACAGATTCTAGAGACTCGCACCAACTGGGCAAACACTTTCAAATAATAAAGTGCAATTTCACTTCAACATACCTTAGATATGAAATGTTGTTCTAACTGACCTCAATAAATTATGAAAATACTTACAATGAAAAATAAATGTCTTTTATGTGATTTAGCGTATGAGGAGGAAATGGTTTGTTTAAATGTATGAAAGTATGTGCAGGAAGTAGAAAGTAGGAAGTAGGGAAAGAAGACTGGTAACATGTTGGTAGAAAATGGGGCTATGAATTGGTAAAAGGGCATACTGATCTGGAGGCATCTTTACCGTGACAGTGACGCACCTTTTTCAAGAATATACTGGTCATTTAGTTGATGAAAATCTTCATTACTAATTTTCATTCAAGTTTTCATATTTAATGTGATGTTTCTCCTTTTCAAAATGTCTTTATTTGAGAAAAAAACATGCTTGTTTTACATTGGATCTTAGTGCAACTAGCATAAAGGAACAAATTATACATTACAAAAAAAATGCTACGGTTACTTTTATTTTCCAGGAAATGAGATGGGTGCCACTAAAAGCTTTAGGGGTTATTTTCTGTTCTTTCACAAAGGATTTTTTTTTACAACCACTAAATAAATGTTTCAAATTAAAAGTGGGACTTGTCTTAAAAATGCCAGTCACGACAGTGCTACAGCAAAAAAAATAAAATCTTTTTTTTTTTAAATTCAAGCTTTATTTGCAGGTTTTTACCATCTTCCAGGTTGAGGAAATGATGTAAAAAGCGCTAAACACAGAAACATATCCTGTAAGTCTGTTAGCATACCACAGGTCATCTGTGAACATCTGACTTGTATTAGCTTCAACTAAAGGCTGAAACTGAGAAGTTTAAACATTAGCCTTCTTTTCATCTTATTAAATATTCCTTCTATCGAATCTTTTATTCATGTCTTGCTGGTTTCCCTTTCGGTTTCTACATGTATTTCTCTTCCTAAAGCCAGTCACTTAATTTCTATCTTTATTCTTATTTCAACATACTGTCTGTTTCACCTTTGTCATGCATTCCCTCTAAGTCTTCGGGTCATTCCAGTCTCTGACTAACAACCCCGCTGTGCCACGAAAAAAAAAACAAAAATAACAAAAAAAAAACATCACTTAACTCATTTATAGACCTGAAACCCCCTCATTAAGCAAACTTTGAACGTTGCAATAGTGGCAATGATTATTTGCGCATTAAAATAATTTCACTATACAGGTAAAGAAAGTTTCCTGATAAAAAACTAAAGGGGGAACTTTATAGAAAGGTACAAAGAGCACTTGCAAAGTAAAGGAAATGCATTTCCCCCCAATAAACATGTTTGCACTGAGTGAGGACAGCACAAACTGAAAAACAATACTTGGGACTTGAATTTGGTGTTCACCTTTGGGAGGCAACTCTACACTGCAGGACATTCAAGTCGTTTAACAAGTTCTACCTCATATCTGTCAGAGACCAATGACAAAGGTATATATTGCGATTTTTTTCCCTTTTATGGTTTATAAGCAAACTTGAAAAATAAACACTGGTTGCACAATAGACTTCCTCTTTGACAGTCTGAGAAAAGTCACATAATGATTTTTTTTTCTAGGTTTTCTTATCCTCGGGAGAGTTAACAGCTTGTTCCAAAAATCGGTATCACATTCCCCCCACTCCCCCAATTTTTACAGCAAAAATTTTTGTAAATAAAAAAAAAAAAACACTTGAATATATTGAACAATTAGTTTCCTTACTTTTTTAAATGGTAAAAGTGTCCAACTCTGACTTTATAAGCGACCTCATAACTTCATGACAGACAAAACCCCCTGAGACACAGGAAGAAGGTGACCTCTTAAAAGCGAGTGACATGCCCCTTTAATAGACACCAGACAAAGGTTTTATGGATGTTTTTACAGGCTAATGAGGAAAAATAAACTTCATGATGTGTCCTAGTGATCATCGCGAGGGAGAAGTACCAGAAAAGGGCTTATTTACATGTTTAGGTTTCAAAACAATGTCCTTTAGAAAACAAAAAACAAAACAAAACAAAAACAAACCGTGCATATTATAAAAGCAGAAACTACCTTTGGCTTCTCTAGTTCTCTGTATTGTTTGAAAAACATATGGCTCCATTAGCCAAATCGTTTAACTAAAATACAATTTTCAAACAAACAAATTAAACCAGAAAGTACCAACAGGTTAACGGTTTTCTGCAATTACTCTACCTAAACAATGCTAACTGCATGAACTATGACAAAATAAAAGCGAGACGTGAGTTAAGACAGACCAAGTCATATTGGAAAAAAAAGTGACTAACCTTATATTACTCGATCATTTCCATTGGGTTCGGTTCCGACATTTGGTTAGCTTGCCAACACAGCCATTGTTCGCGGTCATAAAGCCGTTTAAAAACTCCACAAACTTTCCTGTACGCTGTGATTCAAAATTCACAGACACTCACCCTGGTTTACCGCTGATTTATCAAACTTAGCAACGATACGACCCTACTGTTTTCCCGTGCTCTGTCAAAATAAAAGCTTAGCTCCCAATGAGAAAGATGACTATATGTTTTGAAATGTCGCCACCTACTGCATTTTTAAGGTACTGCATATTTATTATTTAAGATCATTCAAACTTGTACTGTATATGTGCTACAAGGTAGCTTCAGTTTTGTTCTGGTTTTTTCCTGTTTACTTTAGTTAGGGAGGTAAGTTATTGCCATTTGGTTTACTTACTTTCGGTTAATATTTCAAAAATGTTTGTTTTCTTTGTTGGTTTAATCTAACCCCAAGATATGTTACATTACATTGGTTTAAAATTTACAACGAACTAATGCATTCAGGGGGAAAATATTTCCTCTTTGAAAATTTTAAATGTGTTTAGACCTACCCTATGTACACCCAAAGTATACCAATTTAAATCTATGTATCTGTGATGACATCAAATTGCCACCAGATGTCGCCGTAGATCCTTTTGATAAAAAGAATCACTGAAGAGGCTTCATTTAAAATTATGAAGATTTTAGAAACAATAAAATATTTAAAAAACCCAACTTCTACTCCTTGTTGTTAAATGTTACTTTTCAATTATTGGCTTTTCAATGTATTAAAAAGCGTGCTTTTATTTCACTAATTTATTTCACAGCAACACAGTTTTGGAAATAGATTACGTCACCTTGGGTTTAACAAAGTCAGTTCCAATATTATTATTGGAACAACTTTTAAACACTTGAACTAAAGTGTCTTTTTCTGGTTTCAGGCAAATGTTGCACTTTTAACTTCTGTATATTCATGATATCTTCAATAATTTCTTCCTGCCTTTTTATAACTTAACCTACATGTACATTAAGAATGGAAAAAAGGTTGTTTAGGAAACAAAGAACCACAGATTCACTTGTTTCGACTTAAGGCAGTCATATTGACCCCCACCTTCCAAAAATTTCTGTATTTGGAATTTTTCCTACTTTGTATTTTCAATAATGTAATATTGGTTTTATGAATATCATAATGTGCTTTAAGAAAAATCTCTGCTCAGTGAAGAAATTTTGTTAGTTTGACCAATTAAAAGATTTTAAATTTGATTAAATACAACACAAACATCTTTAAAAAACAACAACTGTGAAATACTGTTTAATTTATTAGAAGATGTAAACTAGAGTCCAATTTCAGCTATCATTAGCTACCCAAAGTATACACAAATATATCTTCACTGTGCCTTCCTACCTTATAAAAATGTTCCACACTCCCTTTTTGCTGCCCTTAAAAACGTGGCACCCTTAGTGGAGAGCCATATTGCCTGAAAACTACGTCCTAATTTATTGACTAAATATAGTTTTATAGGTCTATTTATATCTTAAAATTCAGATTTGCTAATGCTCCGTTTCTGATTTTGACAAAAAGGGCTGTGTTTTCAACCTGAGAAATTCAAAGTAAAAGAAGTACATTTTTATGTTTTTTTTAGTTGCTCTGTTAAATCGTTTTATTGTTCGGATCTAGTGGAAAGTTTTTCTAAACTACCTTGCGTCTGGGTTATAAAAAGCAGTTGTAGGATTTTAAATGTTTGAGGTATGAACACATCCATTCATTCATGCTGCTGTATTCTGTGCCTCGGGCCAGGCTTTTCCTCTTTCCCTCCCTCTGTGTGTGTGTGTGTGTGTGTTGCTCCGTGCAGCAGCCATGTTGGAATGCTGGATGTGGAGAGGGGGGAAGCAGGAACAGGCTACGAGAGAGAGAGAGAGTGTGGGGGCAAGAAGCGGAGACAGACAGGAGCTCTGTAACTCTCAAACAACTCTCAGCTCTTCAACCTGAAATAACGGACTACTAACCGAGAGTAAGTCGTCTCTTCCCGCCGGCGAAACGCTCACAAACCTCTGGGAGGAGACCTGGAAGAAGTCAGCGTAAGTGATGTTATGTTTGCGGGACTGTTTTCAACTGCTAAAAGATACGACGGGATGCGGCTCGTCCTGGCTGCCGCTGTCGTTTCCTCTCTTTGAAAAGCGGGGGGGAATTCACTATTTCACCCACTCCCTTTTATTTGGAAAATAGTGGATACGGTAGCCTGGTCGTACTGTACATCTGTTTTTCTCATTTGTAAGTTAAAAGAGTTGGAAAAGGTGACCCCCTCCGTCGCCACCCAACTGGTTGCCAGTGTAGTCGTTAACTTCATGGTAAATAAGAGCTCCGGATTAACCTACATTTAGCTTGAAAACCTCTCTCAACTTGTGCTTAGTCTGTGTCTTTCTTACCAGTAGCAGTCGGGTTACCTTGAAACTCTTCCTTAACAAACTGAACTTGGTGAACTTTCTAACGTAAAGGAGCTTTTCGGTGTGATTCCTTAACGTACTTCTTATTTCTTGCTATTTCATACCTACACTGGTATAATTAGCTGTTTTGTTGCCTTCACGTCACCTTTTTTGTTTGTTTGTTTTTTTGCAGTGTTAGGGATATTTTAACTGCGGATTCGGGAGTTTATCCAAATACATTGACAAGTTATTACTCCAGCTCTTCAGTTGGTATTCTCTAGTTTTCCTTTTTTTCTCGATGCCATATGATACTTTTCTGCCAAGTACATTTTCTCTTTTGTCCCACAGTACATGCCATCAGATTTTCAATTGATTTTACAATTTTGTTGTAAATCCTCATTCAATCAAGATAAACTCTACCCTCCCCCAAATAATATTCTATGTGGCACACAACTCTGATGCTCACATAAAGCAGCTTCTTAATAGATCTGTTTCAAAGCTTGGCTATTTCCACCCCTTTTTCTGTGTGTAATAAAATTACCTCTACAAAGTTGTTTACTTGTATTCTGTAGGCTCAAATGAGACATGAGCTTTTGCAATGCTCAGACCCCAATTTCACACAATATTTTACCTTTTTGCTGTTTTGCTTTTATATGGAAATGTAACAACCTGTTACTGGTTAATTAGTAGGGCTATCTGCTCTGATTACTAGCCAGTAGTCACTTGGGTTACAAACATGTTGTTACCACAATAAAAGTGACAAGAGTGATGAGGTTTTTTTTGCTAATAATAATGTTTTCTTGTTGTCGATCTTCTTATTCTCATAAGTAAGGGGAAAATGCAGTCGCCCTCTGTCAATATTTAAAAATGGCGTAAAACTAGACGGCAATCAAATTAGTCCAGATACAATTCAGATAGAGAGAATGATAAAACTTTAACATTTATTTCCCTTTCCTTTTAAGCTGTAATGTGTGGTAAATCAAATTATGGAAAGACACTGAATCAGGAAATGAGAACATTTCTTTTTGTAACACTCGCCGGCTTGATTTCTAAAGATAAACGGTTATCTGAATTTATGTAAAGCAACATCTTAATCTCCATGATACAATAACAAGCCTGGAGGTTATTCACACTTAGTTAAATATTGAATATCTTAAAATCTTGTGTTGGATTACAGACGCTGAAGAAGCGCTCAATGCAATCGTCAGAAACGGTGCGCTCTGCTCCGCTTACGCTCACGTGTGAAAGAGGTCCTCTGTTTGCCTCTGCTTCAAATTCTACATGCAAGAAAATGTATCCTGAGGCCACCGGAGCTTCTGATTTAACAGTGCACAAATTAGAGCGTGGTTCTGCACGTCTACATTTCTATATCTTAAGTGCTGCTTTGTATATTGATGCGATCCAGGATGCAGGATGCAAATGGTGTGGTCCACTCTAATTTTGTTTTTACTAATTATATGTTTGACAGCACATTATTAAAGTTATCTACACCAACTCAGCTGGTTGTGGTGGCTAATGACAAACTCCTGTCATCTGAAAAGTGGACGTGCTTGTCAGGAAGGTGTCCTGCAGGAGCCACTTCCTTCACTACAACAAGCCAGAGGTGAAATGCTCTCTTTGATGTGCGGCTCGTTGAAAGCACACGTCTCTCTCTCTTGAGTGCTGCCGGCTTCGAAAGGAAATCCTTTCTGCTATTAATAAAATCCTTTTTCCTGCAGTTTCGAGATAGAGTTCAATGATGTCTAACTTGCGGAAGAAATTGGCTCAAAAATGATTATAGTCCACGCGTTCTGCAACTACTGCAGCAGAGTAATGTGTGCTAATTACTCAAAATGTCTTTTCGATTTTCATATCGCTGTGTTTGTAAAAAGGCTTTCCAAACTGTAAGAGTTGAAGAAGTTGCTTAGCATGCAGTTGCGCGCGCCGCTTCACCTTCCTAATTCAATCCTTCCTGTGGCAGTTCCACGGCAGGCCAGCACAGGCGTGGTAGCCTGTGTGCATGCTTATATCTCTCTGCATATGTGTGTATAAAGTGCAGAGCAGTGCAGGAGGCCTGTATTTATAGAAACACTTGGCTACACTCAGTTCTGCCGGGGCAGTCCACTACCCTGCAGAGATGTGTGCTGTGTTTTTATCTGTTCTGTCTCTTTATGTGTGTTAAAGGTCTTCCGTACTTGGTCTCTGTTCGAGTTTTGTCTGCAGAAGAGAGCAAATGGGAAAACATTCTAGAAAAAGGCAAGAGTGAAACACAGCCAGCAGTGTTGTGTTGCTAGATTGCAGTACACCGTGACTCATAATGAGTCTAACAAGTGATAGCACTCACTGCAGTCGCTATCTGCAGAGGCATGTAGACATCCTGACACACAGTATGTGTGTGTCATGAGGATTTCATGAAGTAATTTGACTTTGGAGAGACACACAACTCTGCACTTGTTTCTTTCCAGTTTGAGTGTTTTTCAGGCAAGCAGGGTGGCTGTGTGTGTGTGTGTGTGTGTGTGTGTGTGTGTGTGGGTGAGTGAATTTTTTTTATTTATTTATTTTTTAATCCTAAGCGGTTGGCAGCCCCGGACCTACCTCAGCTGTTTTTTCAGTCCTCGCCAAATTTAAGATTGCTTTTGGCACATCCAGATTGCAAAGGTGGGAAAGAGAAAACATGAATTGAACAGTTGAACCGAGGAATCACTGCTGTTTGTTTTGGAGGTTTGACAAATGCAGTGTGTTTGTTTATTTATATTTATGCACAGTACCAGATTGAAAATCTCAACACATGCGTCTGTTCATTCCCAAACACTC